AAACGAGTGGTTTCTTGGCTGGTGGCAAAAAAACTGAATTTCATTCAAAAAAAGCCGCAGTTTTTGGCCAAAAACTTCACCAATATCATCTACCAAGCACCGTTCTCTCCAGATATGGCCCCGTCTAACTTTTTCGTCTTCCCCCGACTAAAATTGCCATTGTGAGGAAGGTGTTTTGAGACCATAGAGGCCATAAGGTAAAAATAGCCACACGAAAATGTTTCGACTTCTTTGTATAGACGCCAAAGAAAAACTAATCGTACGATATGCGTTAAACTTTGACAGAATATGTATTATAGTGTTGCCAGAGTGAAAATAAAAAAAATTCACTGATTGGATAAGCGGGGGAATTCAAAAATTAAAAATTAAAGTCCTTTTTTGATCACAAGGTATTCAGTAGGTAATTTAGATGTAGAGCTCTGTCTCGTCAAACAAAACTTATGCTCTATAGGTCGCTAATCCTACCTGTGCTTCTGTATGGCGCAGAAGCATGGATGTTATTACAGAACTATGAAATAGCACTGAGAGTATTCGAAGAAAAAATTCTTCATTAGATCTTTGATCATCTACGCGTTGACGACTATCGCATCCATATGGACCACAACCTATACGAGCTTTATCACGACATGGACATAATTCAACAAATTAACATCCAGCGGTTTCGCTGGCTTAGTCATGTCGTGAGAATGGATGAAGATGCTCTAGCGAAACAGGTATTTGAAGATATTTGGAGGAAGAAGATGTAGAGGTAGATCGCATCTCCTGTGGAGTGATTAAGTTAAAGCAGCTCTAACTAATCTTAAGACCGGAGAAGCTGAGCACACGGTAAAGGTAAATTTGTCACCAATTTTGCTTTGTATTACTTTATGATAACTAAGGTAATATTGCGACCATTTTTTAACTATGTATGCAAATCGAACTTGTCAAGAGTTAAGCAATTTTCATCATAAACTTGGTTCACTCATAACATTCTTTTAAAAAACATCAAACATCCATTTATTTGCACAGTAGGTGAAAATAAAATATTTTTGGGTATAAATTACTTCTTATAAAATTTCAAGTATTTAAACAATCGATGTAATTATGTGCATTCTAATGTAATAAAGGTAATCAAAAAATACGCCGTTGTTATATAAACGATAATAATTAGATACCAAGTAGTTTTGGTTTGAACCTGTTTATTGAGTAATCATTATCTCAGCAGATAATGTCTTCTTCTCGGCGCCCAACCATTTAAAATCAATTCCATTCGGCAAAAATTCCTAAATTTTTAATTTTTGTGAAACAAATTTAGAAATTAGAAATTTATGTTGAAATATTTATTATAAATATTTTTATAGAAGTGTAAAGTCACGTCTTTTTGTAATACTAAATATTGATTTTTTAATCAAATTTGATAACGAGAATCTTTAATTGCAACTGACAGAATTTGTTTTATTATATTTTGTTAATGAATCACTTATTTTTAAATAAAATTTTATAAAATAGTCATGTTTGTTTTAAAAATTAAGTAATTAAATTTTTAATGTTACCAAATTTTTATGGGGCAGATCTTTTAAAAATTAGAACGGTTCAACTGAAAACATATATTCTGCTATTGTTAGATATATTGTGTCTACTTTCAGTCCTAGATACGCACATTACATATTCGTCCAAAAATGGTCTATAAAAATAAATTTATTAAAATGCAAAGAAGAAATTTGGGAACACATGAATGATGTTAATTTTGGGCTACCAGAATTAAACAGATGTGAAATGTTAATCATAATATCCAGTTAATCATAAATGTGTTATGATTATACACTGCAAGTTTTAATTTACTAAAGTATGACTTGATGAAATCTATTATTTATTAAGACACGTTAATGAAACAACTTTTTTGTACTTATTTTTTGATTTATTGAATCTATTGTATTTTGTTTAATTATTAGGGGCCGCCTGCATAATGGAAAGTACGATACAAGAATCCGTATACTTGGTCATACACCAGTAACATAATTGCTCCTCCGGGACCAATTCGTAATAACCGAGGTCCGAGACCTCTATACACTCCCTTTAATCCATCGTCAGCATATGCTGATTTAAATGTACCCCATATAGTGAAATATTTAACCATACCTAGTGGTCCTTGCAATGTAGATTTTGCCATATCGAAAGGTGTATTGAAGAGGCATCCCAATATGGCACATGAAAATCCGCAAATGAATTTCTTAAACAACTCTTTAGGTTTTTCAGGGTATACTGGCAAAACGTCCAATATAGAACGATAAACACCAAAATAAACTATATTAAAAAAGATTTCACGCCATACTGTCGCAAAATAACCTCTACTAATGCCTTTCAATCCAAATCCATTTTGAGCTATTATTCTCTTAGCAACGGCCATAGCACCCTCACTATCAGCCATTTTACCACGAGCTGCTTGCTGTTGTACTTTAACAACTTCAAAAGGATTAATTACAGTGCCTTCGCCTATTCCAGAGCACACCCCAGCAAGTATATAACTCTAAAATAAGAAATATTTTATATTTTTTTATTAAACTTAAGTGTAAGTGCTTATACAATTGGCATAGGTTTCTCTTGTCCAAATAAAAAGAATCGTATACTTTGTTCGAAAAACATAAACTTAACAGCTCGCTTAGGTATTTCGACCATCATTGGTGGTAATATGCCTTTGTAGAATGCCATTGCTCCCTCATTTTTTCGTATTTTTTTGATGCAATCCCAAATACCCGTATATTGATCCTACAAAATACAAATGTTATATTTTTGTTAAACTTGCTCATCATTTATAAAAAATTAATATAAAGTTATATAAAATGCTTGTATAATTAATATTATATGCTTGTATAATTAATTCGCTGAAATATTGAAGTCCTCTTAAAATTAATTTTTTAACAGTTATTTTTGAATTTTATAGTCAAGATACTAAAGAATACAGAATAATGATACTAAAGAATATAGATGAAAAATGATCTCAAACCACTGTGCGACGATTACACTATTCCAATCGTAGTTACGAGTATTTAAATATAATTCAAGAATAGCAACAAAGTGATCCTATCCTATTTGATGGATGATATAAATAGAAATTTTAGTATAGTGCCATAAAGCACTAGATTTCATATAGATGACCAAATTTGCACAAATAAATCAATCATTATTTAAAACAGTATAATAAGTCAGACAAGCCTCAACCATAGAGAAATAAAGTCCTCTATTATACGATACCTTAAGTTTCTTTTAAGTATTTGAAATATATTCTGATTTTTAAGTTCCAGAATTATTAAAAATCGAGTCAAGCTTTGGAGCAGCAGTAAATGTTGCAGTTCGAATATATCCGACGACCGTCGCATGATGTATCAAAACAGAAGTTAGACGATTAGAAATTCAGTATTTTCTGAACCAGTAGTGATATTGAAACAAAATTTTTCTTAAATATAATTTTTGAGATGACCTTTCTTTTATGTATTTTAAGTCCAATTGGTTAACCGGAACCCCTCTAAATTTGGGCGCAAATATAGTCAATTTTTTCATTTTTTTATATAACTCAAAAACTGTAATAAGAAGAATAATAAAATTTTGTGTACTAAACACATGTACTATAATACATATGCCCAATTCATGATATTCCGCCCACTTAAACACCCATCTTCCATACAAAATTTTCATAAAAAATTTTATATTATTAAAAAAAACGTTTTTCTTTTATAAGATTAATGATGTTTATTACGTATCCATTTCATATATGCTGACTTTTTTTAATTAGCTTTTTTATAAATGAGTATTGGGCTATCAGTCAGATTTTGTAATTTGGTTTTTTTAATAAAAAATTTTTCTTATTATTTTACTTATTTAATATTTATTTCCGACGTTTCGGTTTTTTAAAACCATCATCAGGGAAAAAATTTTAAAACAACTGAATATAATAAAATTTGTATATAAAAAATATTTTTGACAAATGTTTTAAATAATTACAACGGAGAAAATACAATCAGTTTATCTTAAGAATGATTTTTCTAGCAATGCACAGTAAACAACAGAAATATTTTCTATATCTCGCCGCAAATTATATGTGGGTTTAGTCATTATATGTAAGGACTCTAGGGTAAGACGTCGAGACAAGGAAGGTTCAGTATCAATGACTTTCACTGAAGTAAAATCTGGGTAATGATTTACATCAAGAAAGTGTGAGACTAAAGCTGATTGTTTATCCGGATTAATTTGTTTTAGACTATTTTTATGTTGACTTATTCTTTTATGTAATTGATTTTTTGTTTGGTCAATATAGCAGAGTTCAAATTTTTGACCATTATTATCAGTTCCAGTGCATGGAATTTCATAGATGCAATTAATAATGTTGTTCGTTTCAATACGATCTTTCAGTTTGGTATATATAGTTGTTTGAATTTGTGCAAATGGTTTAAAGGATATTCTTAAATTGTCTACTTTCCTTTCGATAATCTTAGCAATTTTAACTGATAGGTCATTTATATATATCATCGATCTTCTAATCATAGGAATTTGTATACTCTGCTCATGGTGATTAGTTCTTGAAAGTTGAAAATGTTGACGTACCATTGGGTCAAAAGATAAAATCCTTGAATTTCTACAATTATTAAATTCATTTCACAATCGCATACAATTCACTGTTGAACATGAATTTAA